AACAATTGGACTCAGTATTAATTAAAATTTGTTATCAATTTAATAGTTGTGATCATTTTTTTTAGTTCAACGGTCAAGAGTGATTGTATCAGCTTACGCGCAATTCGACTAATCAGACCATTCACGCCAAGACCATTCACGAAAAATAAATTCCACGTATTATGTCCTCAAAGAATTAATAAGATTTAAATTTATTATGTCTATTGTGATCATTAAGTTAATAAACTTGATTAAAATAGTATTGATTAACATACTAACTGGGAAAAAAGGGGGGACCCCTCACCACCGTCAAAATTTTTCCTGGTGCAAGACTTGCGAAGACTTGGATTTCTGAATTGATTCATCCAAAAATGTCATCAATCTAAAAATCCAAGTCTTTGCAAATTTTGCACCGCAGAAAGGCAAGAAAAAAGGGCATATGAAACTGTAACGTCCCAAAACACATTTTGGACAGTATTATATTCTAAAATTATTTATATCATGAGAGCACTAATATAATCCTTTAAGAAACAAGAGTTCATTTGTCATCCACGAATATTTATAAAATTATCCAAAAGAATAAGCCCAAGTCATGTCTATTACATCTCAAAAATTAATTAAAGAAGCGCAGCGGAATAAACACAAGAAGCTAGACTACACAATGTTTCAAAAGAATGTCCTAATCTAGTACAAAAGGAAAGGAGGTCGCTCTATGCGTCCACCTCGGGATTCACACTCCCGTCCAGTGGAGTCTCCCAAATAGCGGGCTCCTCGATCCTTACGTCCTCCTCCTCCTCCTCAAGCGGGTAATCTGAAAAATGTTAGCGATAGGGGGTGAGCACAAAAATTTGTAGAAAAATTTTTCCAAACCCATACAAAGTTTAGAAAAGCATTTAAAATTGTCGGTCTCAATTTTAACATAACATAAATACATAATTTGAAATAAAGCAGTGAAATTTAAAAAGAATTTTAAATTTATTTAAAAACATTACTTAAATGAATAAACGAGCACCACATACAAATAATAACCATTAATTGTCATAACCAATTTTCAATAATTCTTTCGGTAGGTGACATACTTTGTGGTAACCTCCACCCCCATTTAGGTCACCTTTGATTCTCAAACATCCTTACCGGGAATCTCTTGAAAATGGATAAGCATCCTTACATGGAACCTCTCACCAATCATTATATTATTTTCCAAGCATCCTTACCGAGAACCTCTTGGGAAGGGGTGAGTATCCTTACAATAAACCTCTCACTCATGTGCATCACAAACAACTCAACCAAAAATTCAATTTCAACATTTATCTCAATTTACAAGCATCTATCCAAAATTCTCAAAATATATCATATAACAATTTCACAACCAACTAAGAAAATACATGAGATCACAATAACATCATTTTTCTACCCAACACAAAGCACTAAGGTTTTGAAATTCATAATAAAGAAAGCATTTAGGAAGAAAATACATCACTCTCCAAAAATTAGGGTTTTAAAACTAGAAAGGAGATTTCATGGGTATTAAACTCTACTTTATTCAAAACATGTAATCCTTGCAAAAAACTTAAGAGAGGATGATTCCATAGCATGTATATACCATTGATAGCCAAAACATACATATATAAATACCCTAGCATCAATGTAAGTGAATGAGAGAAAACCTCTACCTTGAATCCTTAGCTTTGGAGTGAAGAACAAGAATATTTGATCTTGAATCACCTTTGAATCTCTTGTTTTTCTCTTCCTTTCTTCTTCTCTAATGCCCTCTAGGGTTTCAAGAGGTGTGGGGGTGTGAGGGAAGTGAAGGAAATGAGAGCAAATGAGATGAAAATGAGTTTAAAACATAGCAGCTCCGAAAAATACTGTTCACAGGCTGTTTTGAGTTTCTCAAAATTTACGATTTTACCACTAAAAATCTCCAATTTTATCCATATGACTATTCTAAAGTTTGTCGACGTTCCGGATTCATTTTTAATGTTATTTTAACCTAAAAATATTTATATTTATGATTTATCTCAAAACTCAAGTCAACGTACACCCGAAATACTAAAATTTCTATTTTATCCATCCGAATCGGCTATTAATGAAGTTTTGCGATATTTGCAAATAAAAAGTGATAAAGGGTGTTTTTTAAAGCTTTTTATACTTATTTGAAGCCTAAAAGTACTCATTATTCTTTAATTTTGATTTAGGATGCAAATGAAGACATTAAATGCAAAACGAAGCTAATTGGACTATTTCGACATCGTTTCGTTATCTGAGCATAACTCTCTCATCCAAGCTCCGATTGAGATGATTCAAGATGTTATGGAATGATACGAAAGAGCTCTAAAACTTTCATGTTTTGAGTTTTAAGAGATATTGACTACATCAAGGTCTAAATCGAGTTTGAAGTTGCAGCAGTACACTGTTCACGTGCACTGTTCACAGTCTATTTTCGTCCATTTTTCCATTTTCAATCCATTCCTAAGCCAACCAAATTTATCCCAAACCTCTCAAACACATATTTCTACACCAAAACTATTTAATACAAGTTCTAGGACCTAAAATTTCATATTTTCACTTATTAAAATCAAATTTCAACTATTATTTTCACTAACATTTTAAATCTCTACTTTTCCAATTTACTAAATTCAAACACACATCACTACATATATCCACATTTTTTTACCACAATTATTTACTATAAATGTATATACATATATAAAAAAAAATGCGGGGTGTTACAGAAACCGTTGCCTGTGGAATAATATTATATTCAAAACTTGGGTCTTTTAATTAATGCTATTACAACAATTTCCAACTGTCCAAATCACTGGGTCGGTGGAGAATAGAAAAATTTTGATGGAACAATCAGGATTCAGATTCCCTCCATTACTCATTTTCTTTAATTCTTCTAAATACAGTGCTAGATAAGTTAAATGTGTAAAATTTTGAATTTTAATGGGTAAGATTTTTTTCTTGTGAGAAAATTTTTTAATAATGGTTAACACTCCATCAACAACAAAAATGAATAAGGAAACATTTTATCCATTGAAATTCAAAATCTTACATGTGTCACTCATTTATCACTGTATTGATGAAAATTGAAGGGAAGAGGTAATAGAGGGACTCTAAATCTGAACAATCAAACGGGTCAAAGATATCTCCGTCTTGGGTAAATGTTACTTCTTCACTTAACATTAACTCATTTGGTGTATATGATACCAAATATTCTATAAATTTAAGATAATTTTGGGTTATAATTTTCCAAACCCGCTATAGACAAGAAATTTGTACACCGGATGAATATGAGTTTTATTACAACACGATATTTGTAGGGTTCATATCGATATTGAAAGTGTTAATTGAGCCGATAGTTAAAATCCATGGATATGTTGATTGATTGGGGCCAATGGACTGCAGTTTGGTTGAGTAACAGTATGAGAGACATATATGTTCGGGAGGACCTAAATTTCTAATAGAATGTAAACTCAAAAAACAATTTTTTTTTCATTTAACTCGACAAATTTTTTCATGTATGATTATGAATCTAACTACATGAGTCACTAATAAGTTATTTTCTTTACTGTCTATAGTATGCACAACAATGGATTAATCACTTCACACACACACACACATATATATGTATAGGGAGAGAGAGAGAGAGATATTTATAACAAATTCTTTTAGACCTCAGTTACTTCCAAATGCATCCCAATCTGATGGACTTGTATGCTTCAGCTGGAGGACCAGAGAAAAAAAATAGTAAATTTCAGATTCCTAGTTTTTTTTTTCTTGTGTGTGTGTGGGCAAATTTGCATCCGTTTGTGCCCAATGCAAATACTTTTTGCGTCAGGAAAATGCCGATGCAAGAGTTTTTCACTGCACCAAGCTTGCCGATTTTGCGCAATCATTTTTTACTGCACAAAAGTTGTTGATGCAAAGATTAATTTGTCAATACAAAAAGTATTTGGGTTGGCAAATCAATCTTACAAAAAACGTAATTTCTTTCATTGAATTAAAATCCTTGGAGTACTTTGTTTCATGGGAATGCGAAAATTCGATCAATTGGACTTTAGACAAGGGGGAGAAGCTAATAGCCTCCCACAACACACCATTTTTGGATAGAAAACCACAATATCAGTCACTTGATTAAAAACATCATTTTGCAATTAAGCCTGGAAATTCTATACTTTCAGACATCTAATCGAAATACATTTAATAAGAATAAAAAAATCCACAAAATTTAACCCAAAATATTATTTGAAATCTTGGATGGCCATTCCATTAAGGATTGAAAATGTTAAAAACTTTTCTATGGAAGAGATAAATTTGGGTTGATTTACCCTTCACAGTTCTCCAATCAAACACCACAAATTGCTGCCAAACTCCAGTGAAAGCAAGTCCACTGCCAAGTCTTTTGCAAGTCCATATCCCAAAATACATTGTAGTAAGCATAACGTAGTTGAAGAGTCAAGATCACAATAGATGAATTAGCACGTAATAAACATGTTATTTTCTTCTAGATGGTCATTCAATCACAAAATTTTCCAACAATTTTAGAGGCCCATGCATTACACAGATGACAAAACACTCTATAAATACCAGTCTCCCAAAAGCAAACTACAAAACAAACCCTTAGTTTCATATTCTGTGGTGGTTGGTCTAGCAACTCACATACATTATCATTCTCTAGTTCTTCAATCTTAATGGGGAACAAGAGGTCTGGCTTACTGTTCCCAAATTTGGCTTTCATGTTCATTCTCACTCTCTTTTCCATTTTGAGTTTCAATTCGTTGGTAGCATCGGGGAGCAATATCGTGGAGGAGCAGAGCAATGTAGAAACTTACATTGTCCATTTGAAGAAGCCCGATGACCGAGTTTTCACTCAATCAGATGATTTAGAAAGCTGGTATCAATCATTTTTGCCGGTAAGCACCGCAAATTAGAATGAAGCACCGCGCATAATATATGCATACCGCAATGTGGTTACTGGTTTTGCTGCCAAATTGTCTGCTGCGGATGTGAAAGCCATGGAAAAGAAGGATGGCTTTGTGACTGCCAGGCCTCAGAAAGTATTGTCTTTACATACAACTCACAGTCTTAAATTCTTGGGATTGCAACAATATCTAGGCTTTTGGAGTGGCCCAAATTATGGTAAAGGTGTGATTATTAGAGTTATAGACTCTGGAGTTTTGCCGAACCACCCTTCGTTTGGCGACGAAGGAATGCCACCTCCACCTGCTAAATGGAAGGGGAAATGTGAACTCAATAGCACTTATGCTTGTTGTTGGAGTATAGATAGTAGTCTAGGTTTATTAGGATTTCTTTTCCCTTTTTTACCCTTACTATGATTTTTATATTTTGCCTAAACTACAAGGATGTTTAAGTCACTCTGTATTATTTTTGGCTATATATACGGGACTCTACTTTGAGTTTGAGTATCCCTTTCACATATTCCAAGTTGGTATCAGAGCCAAAACCCTAGCCTCCATCTCTAAGCCTAACCCTAACCCTAACCTTAACCCTAGCCTTCATCACCTTCCCAGCAGCCACCATTCCACAACCCAAACAATCTGCAACAGCCTGCCCAACCTCCAGCGCCACACCCAGGCCACCAGAACCACCGACTGCCTGCCAAAATCGTCTGCCTCTGCTACACCGTCCAGCAGCCCCACCGACAAAACCACACACCAGCCCATTCCATCGACCCACTCAAACCAGCAAAGGAACCCAGCCTCCCATCAGAACCAGACCACACCGCCAGCGACAAAACCAGACAAGCTACTGCCTGGTACCACCGACAGCAACAACCGACTGAATTCAATCCAACCGACTGCCCACACCAACAACCGACTACCCACACCCAAACCCAGACCAGCGACCCACAAAACCCCCACTGCCTCCTCACCGATAGAACCCATCCAAAAACATCACCGACTGCCCACCGAAAACCAACTGCCTCTTTGATCAACCGATAGCTCCACCGACAGCCCATAACAAACTCCACCGACAGCCACATAAACCAAAACCCAAAACCCAGCCTTAACATCTACACCGACTGCCTCCACTCCATTAAACCAGCTGCTCCACCGACAGCCACATAAACCAAAACCCAAAACCCAGCCAACAACAAATCGTCGACCCACTGCCCGGTCCAACCCAAACCAATCCTAGACCAGCCCCAAACCAGCCCACTCATCAACCCGCTATCGGGTCACGTGTATCTTTTCGTCACAATGTCGCTATTTTTTCGCGCCACCTTTTTTTCTAGAGTTGCAATATCTAGGCCTTTTTGAGGAGGCACCAGATCCTTTTCTCCGTTGATCTGCTTTTAATGCAGTAGATCATTTATATTTATTGGATTTCTGGGCACCGTGACTTGATTATTTGGGAGCTTTTTGGACCTTCTTTATTTGTCGCTACTGTTCGACTGAAGGTATATTGTTCTCCCTTATTTTATTCCTCTATTTATCTTAGAGTTATTTTTCTGTCACGGGTGCCCTAGTATTGTTGTTGATATGACTACTACTGAGGGACTTGAGAACCCTACTGTTGACACCTCTACCGTTGAGACATCTATGGGTACTTCCACTTTTATGTTTGACCAGTATACAGTGCCTACTGGCACAGTTGCATTACCAGCATTACCGGGCATGATCTCTCAAAAAGTTATGGCACAATTGTTGAATGGTCGTAACTTCGCTGAGTGGTCACGCTCATTCCAGCTTTTCTTAGGCCGTGTAGGGAAGCTTGGTTGGCTGACGGGATCTCACCCAAAGCCAGCTGATGCCGACCCTGGATATTCTGCGTGGTTCTCTGAAAACTGTGCCATTCTTGGATGGTTATTTGGCTCAATGGAGCCCTCTGTTTGCAGGATCCATCAGTTTCATAGCTCTGTTCCGAAGCTATGGAGCGCATTATCAGAGATGTATTCTCAGTCAGGACGGGGAGTTCGTGTTTATGAGCTTTCTCAGGAGCTCTCATATGCTCGACAGGGAGATATGACCGTTCAGGATTATTATGGCTATTTGACCCAGCGCTGGCTTGAGTATGAGTCTCTACGTCCTCTTGCTGCTATTCCGAAGATAGAGCCCGAGGGAGCAGCATTCTTGCATACTCGAGAGCAGGAGGATAGGATTCACAAGTTCCTTATGGGGCTTCGTGATGAGTTTGAGGGACCTCGTTCTCAGATCTTGTCGATGTTGACACTTCCTTCTCTTTATGAGGTGTATGGGATGATTGAGCAGCATGAGCGTCGAGTCCGTATTGCATCACTTCCAGTTGCAGCTTTGACTCCTTCGATTGACCAGATGGCCCTTGCAACTGCTGTAGGGTCCCGTTCAGGATCCTTAGTCAGGGATGGGCAACGCTCAGACCAGCGCCGTCAGGGCATCCCAGATCAGCGCAGACGGGGGGATTCCCGTCAATGTGATTATTGTGGCCGACCAGGACATCTCAGGGCTACTTGCTGGAAGCTCCATCCAGAGCTTAAGCCACCTTCTCGCAGCCGTACTGTTGCTATTGCTGAGATACCACCGCCCACTACCGCCACTCCTGCTACTGCTCCTCCTTGGCAAAGTGATATGGATGCTATCACTTCCCGATTAGATATACTTATGTCTGCTCTGACTTCTCAGAGTCTGACTACTGCTGCTGTCACCACTACAGGTATATCTCGTGCCTTTCACGCTTGTGCCAGTTCATCTCCCCTTTGGATGTTGGACTCGGGTGCGAATGGTCACATGACAGGTGAGGCCCATCACTTCACCACTTTTGACGAGCCGTTACATACACAGGTTCAGTTAGCAGATGGAACACATGCCCCTATTGTTAGTAGGGGTACAGTCCGTCTCCCAGATGGCCTTACATTACATTCGGTTTTTCATGCGCCAAAGTTGGCCATGAATCTATTATCTGTACATCAGTTAGCCAGAGATTTTCACTGTGCGGTTGTATTCTTATCTGATTCGTGTTATTTGCAGGACCTGAGTACCAGGAGGATTATTATCAAGGGACATGAGAAAGATGGACTGTATTATCTTGGCAATCCATCTCCAGTTTCACCAATTCCTTCACCTGCACCTGCTTTGTCTTTTTCTGTTCCTAGCTTGCATGCTAGTATTTTACCTAGTAGTTGTCGTTATGATTTTTCGCCACAAACTGTTCAATTGTGGCATGACCGTTTTGGACATACAAATTTTAAATATTTATGTATGTTGTTTCCTGCTTTGAGTAATGCTTGTGTTGGTGGTAAACTTGATTGCGTTATCTGTTCCCTATCAAAACATGTTAGGGCCAATTATATTCCTCGCATGCACCAGTCACCCAAGCCATTTGACCTAATACACTCTGATATTTGGGGACCCTCTCCCGTTACTGCTCTGTCAGGTGCCAGATATTATGTGACATTTATAGATGATCATACCCGTTGTACTTGGGTCTACCTTTTGCATAGGAAGTCTGATGTGCTCCCTATAATCACTCAGTTTTTACAGATGATTAAGACACAATTCGATGTCATTGTTCGTGCTCTTCGTTCGGATAATGCCAAAGAATATGTGTCTGATGCTTTAGTGTCTCACCTTTCTTCTCAGGGTATCCTTCAGCAACTCACTTGTCCATATACTCCTGAGCAAAATGGTGTTGCTGAGAGGAAAAATAGGAGTTTGATAGGGATGGTACGTTGTCTGCTTAGAGGCATGAGGGTACCAAAATCTTATTGGCATTTTGCTGTTTTGACTTCTACCTTTCTGTGCAATCGTACGCCGAGTCGTGTTCTTCAGCATAAGGCTCCCTTACAGGTCTTATTTCCTGAGCGGACACTTTTTCCGGTCCCCCTCGTGTTTTTGGATGCACATGTTTTGTTCAGGATCGGTCTCCTACTCGTCATAAACTTGATGATAAAGCGATTCGTTGTATCTTTGTGGGCTATTGTCATCAATCTAAGGGGTATCGCTGTTATGATCCTATTAGGCGTCGTATGTATCACAGTCTAGATGTTACCTTTCTTGAGCATATTCCTTATTTTCCTTTCAGTCCTTTGTCTGCCCCTCCAGTTGATGATACTCCCTTTGACTTTCCATTACCACAAGAGTCAGAGTCATTGATCACTATCCCTACAGGGTCATCCGTTTTTCCTCCCAAGGAGTCACTCATCCCTGTCAGTACAGAGTTACCAGTCTCTCTTCCTTTGCAGGTGTATGCTCGTTGTCCTCGCTCTCATCACCCTGCTGATATCCCCTCTACCTCAGGCGATGCAGGTAATACTTCTCAGTTTGTTGAGCATATTGATGCACCTGTTGTTAGTACTGATGAGATTACAGGTGCTGAGCCAGTTACTTTACCTGATAAGATATTATCAGTAGAGGATGGTGATTTAGGGCGTCGTTATCCAAGGCGTGATCGCCGTCCAGTTGATCGATATGGTTGGACCGCCAAGATTTTATATCCGATCTCTGCTTATGTTTCTTATGGTAATCTGTCTCCCACATTTCGAGCTTATACTATGGCCTTATCAGATACGCTGGTTCCTCGCTCTATTTCGGAAGCTATGCGGGAGCCCCAGTGGGTTCTTGCCATGCAGACAGAGATGGACGCTCTTCAGCGTAATCATACATGGGATCTTGTCTCCTTACCTTCAGGGGTGAAGCCTGTTGGCTGTCGCTGGGTTTACACCCTGAAGTTTCTGGCAGATGGTACTATTGATCGTTACAAGGCTAGACTTGTGGCGAAGGGCTTTACTCAGGTACCAGGTCGTGACTTTGGTGCTACATTTGCCCCCGTGGCAAAATTGACTACTGTTCGGTTAATTATTTCTCTGGCTGCGGAGTACTCTTGGCCTCTTCATCAATTAGATGTGAAGAATGCGTTTCTTCACGGTGATCTGGACGAGATTATTTATATGGATGCACCACCGGGCTTTCGTGGTGAGGGGGAGTATGCTGGAAAGGTATGTCGACTGCGTAAGTCTCTTTATGGACTGAAACAGTCGCCACGAGCCTGGTTCTCTCGCTTCAGTGATGTAGTCATACGATTGGGGTTCACCAGGTGTCATTCTGATCATACCTGCTTTATTCGACGGAATACTTCTGGACAGTGTGTCATCCTTCTGGTATATGTTGATGATATTATTATTACTGGTGATGATGTTTCTGGGACTGCGCAGGTCAAGATAGACCTTGGGAAGGCCTTCGATGTGAAGGATCTTGGATTTCTGCGATACTTTCTTGGGATTGAGGTTGCCCGTAGAAGCAGAGGTATTGTTCTTTCTCAGAGAAAGTATGTTTTGGATCTTCTTTCAGACACTGGGATGTTGGGGTGCAAACCGGCATCATCACCTATGATTCCAAACCTGAAGCTTACTGCTGAAGGTGAGGAGTTGAAAGATCCGACAGTTTATCAAAGATTGGTAGGTAGACTTATCTACTTAGCCAATACTAGGCCGGACATTTCATTCGCAGTCAGCCGAGTTAGTCAGTTCATGCATAGGCCATGTCAGCCTCATCTTGATGCAGTTTATCATATTCTTCGGTACCTCAAGTCTTGTCCTGGACTTGGGTTGTTTTATGCATCAGGATCTCAGACCGGTTCTCTAGCCTGTTATTCAGATTCAGATTATGGGGGAGCATGTGATGGTCGATCTACTACGGGTTTCTGTGCTTTTCGAGGGACTCATCTTATCTCTTGGAAGAGCAAGAAGCAGGCAGTTGTCTCCCGCTCGTCCGCAGAGGCAGAGTATCGGGCATTGGCACTTGGCACATGTGAGATTATCTGGCTACGATCGATTCTTGACGAGTTGGGTTTTTCAGTGACCTCTCCATCCACATTATATTGTGATAATCAATCTGCTATTCAGCTCGCTTCTGACTCTGTACTACATGAGAGAACGAAGCATATAGAGATCGATGTTCACTTTCTTCGGGAGAAGGTCAGCAGTGGTCTTGTTACTCCATCGTTTGTGGGGACCAGTGATCAAGTTGCGGATGTTTTTACCAAACCTGTCACTCTGTCTATTCTTCGGGACTCCGTTGTCAAGCTTGGCTTAGTTGACATTTTTGCGCCTAGCTTGAGGGGGAGTGTTGGAGTATAGATAGTAGTCTAGGTTTATTAGGATTTCTTTTCCCTTTTTACCCTTACTATGATTTTTATATTTTGCCTAAACTACAAGGATGTTTAAGTCACTCTGTATTATTTTTGGCTATATATACGGGACTCTACTTTGAGTTTGAGTATCCCTTTCACATATTCCAAGTCTTGTAATAACAAGCTCATCGGTGTAAGGAGTTTTATCAGTGATTCAGATGAGATACAGGTGGACGAAGATGGCCATGGCACTCACACAGCAAGCACTGCCGCCGAAAACTTTGTGAAAAGGGCCAATGTGTTTGGCAATGTCAATGGCACCGCAGTTGGCGTAGCACCGCTTGCTCACTTGGCCATTTACAAAGTATGTTCGTTTGACTGTTCTGATAGTGACATATTGGCTGGAATGGACGCTGCTATTGAGGATGGTGTTGATGTGCTTTCCATCTCCCTTGGTGGATTTTCCAATCCTTTCTCCGGAGACAGTGTAATTGTTGGTGCATTTACTGCAATGCAAAAAGGCATTTTTGTGAGCTGCTCAGCTGGTAACTCTAGTCCGTTCAATTTCTCATTATCGAATGAGGCCCCATGGCTTCTCACCGTTGGTGCAAGCACTATTGATCGAAGCATAAGGGCCACTGCATTGCTAGGAAACGCTGAAGAATTCGATGGCGAGTCAGTCTTCCAGCTTAAAGATTTCCCTTTGACGTTGTTGCCTCTTGTTTACCCGCAGTCAAACGGAACCGAAGATTATGCTCCATTTTGTGCCACGGGATCATTGAACAACACAGACGTCAAAGGGAAGGTAGTGTTGTGGGATGCTGGTGGTCCGGTAACAAGAGTAGGCAAAGGACAAACAATAAAGGATGCTGGTGGAGCTGCCATGATTTTGATGAACCAATACTATAGGGCCTACACTACCTTCGCTGATGTTCATGTCCTTCCTGCAACACATGTGAGTTATGCTGATGGATTAAAGATCAAGGCCTATATAAATTCAACATCAAGGCCGATGGCTACAATCTTGTTCAGAGGAACCATAACTGGGGATAATCATGCTCCTATGGTTTCCGCATTCTCTTCCAGGGGCCCTAATTACGCAAGCCCAAGAATTCTGAAACCTGACATTATTGGTCCCGGTGTGAACATTCTTGCTGCGTGACCTTTCTCTGTGGAAAACAACACCGATACAAAGTCAACATTTAACATAATCTCGGGTACCTCAATGTCATGTCCTTATCTCAGTGGCATCGCAGCTTTGCTCAAAGCTGCACACCCCAGTTGGTCTCCGGCTGCCATCAAGTCCGCTATCATGACTACTGCTGATCAACTAAACCTCGACAACAAGCCCACCATCAATGATAGTCTACTCCCAGCTGAGTCGATGTTAGTGTTAAGCCTACTAGGTTGGACTTCTCAGATGTGAACCAACAGATGACATATCAGGTCACATTTAGAAGATCAACCGGAGGCATGAATGCCATCTCTGCACAAGGATTCCTGAAATGGACTTCTACCAAACATGTAGTTAGAAGTCCAATCGCTGTTGTGTTTGAGTGAGGAAGAGGTGCTGCGGATCACGTACACTTCAGACATATCAACTATATGTTTCAATTTGCTTGTTTGACCCTTTGGGTTTTATGAAATATTAAATAAAATATTAAATCTTTTATATATATATATATATATATCTTAGTTGTATTCTAGAATTACAATAGGAACAGTGATTTGAATTCACATGCGGGCCTTCAACTTTGAACTTGATCATATGAAATATTAAACCTCGTTCCCATTGGTGTCTCGTCTATGTGTGCATCGTAGCCACGACAGGGACAGCAACCATAACTCCAGAAAAGGCCTGCCACGAGAACGGTCTCAACTCGAAATAAAAAATAAGAGTTCTTTAAAAGTCGGTACATCTAATTAAATTTATTTGACAAAAAATATATAAAATAAAATGTGAGTTACAAAGATATAAATGCCCATTTAATTCAAAATCTCTTATCTTTAATGCACATTTCATGTGTGTTTGTTAATATATATAAATACGTATTTAATGAATCTTGATTTATGCGTATTTGTTAATACATGTAAATATGTATATATATATACACACACACACATATATACATATAAACAAGTATATATATATATATATATATATATATATACATATGCGTATAAATAAGTATATATATACTAATATATATTATCTTTAATGCACCTTAATTGATGCGTATTTTTTTTTTTTTTGGAAAGTGATTTTTTTTTCAAATTATATTTAATGCACATTGATTCAAGCATTTTTTTTTGAAAAATTGTTTTATTTTCAAATTAATTAAATATCCGAGTAATGTAATAGTGTAACAATAACAGTGTAACAAATACATTGTAACAAAGTTAGTGTAACAAATACACTATAACAAAAACAGTGTTCAGTAGTTTTGTGTATGTGGTAACAAATTCAAAACATAAATGAACTATTTTGAATGAAATTATATGAGAATATATGTTTGACAAAATGTAATAGTACAATATTTTGTGTAAATAACTTGTTACACTGTTATTGTTATACTGTTACACTGTTACACTTTTATTGTTACATTATTATTGTTACACAGTTATATTTTTAGTGTTACACTGTTATTGTTACACTATTACAGTATTCGGATATTAAATTAATTTAAAAATAAAACCACTTTCTAAAAAAAAAATGCATAAATCAAGGTGTATTAAAAGATAATTCAAAATTTAGATAAGAGATTTAACAACAAGCAAAACTAGGAGATGTTTAATGCACCACTTTTCAAAGAAAATGGTGCATTAAATACACATGGATTAATGAAGGGCAAAAATATCACAAAAAATTTGTAAAATTCAAATAATGTACTTAAATACAAATAAGTATCAAAATTAAGGACTTAATTACCCAAAAAAATTTTCTATATACTTTTTTATAATTAAGTTTAATTTGGTATACCTCCTTCTAATTTTTTCCAAAAATAAAAGGGTAAGTCATTTTTCGGCTCAACGACAACCCAACCCTATTGTATCCTTGGGCCATATATTATTATTTTTTTTGGGAATGTATACATAATAAACTAAATATCTATATAATAATAAAGTAATTAAATTTCTTTATCGGTAGTTTTTTGCGATTAAAATTACTTTAAGATTATTGATCAACAATCAAAACTCCTCCTTTCAACAATTGTATCATTTTAGGACTCTCAAGACTTTGGTGCATTTGGTAACATTTTCGTTTTTACATTTTTTTTAATAAAAATAAAAATATAAAACATATTTGCTAGTCATTTATATTTTAAAAATTATAAAAACAAAAATAAAAATATATGTTTGGTAATATATCAAAAATTCACCACCAAACACCCAACCACCTACCACCACCAAACTCCCACCACCACCACCAAAACCCACCACCACCACTGAAACTCACCCCCACAACCTGTCTCCTGAAATTTACTAGCACCCAACCCAACCACCACTATCGAAATCCACCCCCACAAAGCCTTCTGTGAAACCCATCGCCTACCCCCAAAATACACTACCAACCAACCCCACCACCATCGAAACCCACCCCCACAAGGCCACAACCCCCTGCAACCCCGAAACCCACCACCACCACTGAAACCCACCCCTACCCCCATCCCCAAAATCCACCACCACCGAAACCTAACACCAAAACCAAGCAAACCCCACCACCCAGCCATCCAACACCAAACCATGGAAAACCCACCACCATCAGCCATTCAACCACCACCAAAGAAGATGAGAGAGAAGATGAGTTTTCGCAGAGAATACGAGAGAGAGATGAGAGACAACTCTTTGATTTTTCGCAGAGAGAGAAAATGGGAGAGAAGATGAGAGAGAGAGATAGAAAGAGAAGTTGGGTGACCAGTAGTAGGTAGAAAGAGACCTTTTTACACTTCCAACCAAAAATCCCAAATATTGGTGTTAACAAGATTCGAAGGTAAGACCTCATTAAAAGGTGGGGCTGAGGCGCTCGTGTTTTTTTTTTTTTTGGTGTTTTCAAAAATATCATTTTTTATGTTTTCATATTTTGGCTTTGTTTTCAAAACGGGGCATTACAAAAAATGGAACACACATCCCAAACGCGTTATTATTATTTTTTTTAACAAAAAAAAACACACAAACTTCATATTACCAAGCGTTACCTTAAAATACGTATCTTTCGATCTCTTACTCTATCTGGCCTTCTCTACCGATCTTTCACTATATCTGACCTTCTCTACGGTCCCACTCCAAATACAATATTCTTTATCTCTCTCTTACAATTTGACATCCATTGTCACCCTCAACCCAAACCCCCCACCAAACGTCTTTCTCTTATTGTCGCTGCCAGCCATCGTCACTAGCAATAATAGGTTTGATATTCTTTCTATGTATTTGATTTTTTCTCTCCCTGTATTTGGTCTTCTTTCTCTCTCTATTTCTCTCTACCTAACCCAAAAAGCCCCTTAAAAAAACCAACCCAGAAACCCCTTTCCTTCCCATTTTCTTTGTATGATTAGCCAAAAAAAAAACAATAAAAAAATCCAAAACAATTGCAGCACCACATCTCCCCCTATATCTCTTATGGATCCCAATCTCTCCCTCCCTCATCGCAGCACCTATGCCGCCTAGCCCAACCTAGCCCCTTGCGAATCAGAAGCCCACCAACTACTACAAAACCATTGACCACCACTAGCGACAACGACGACAGCAAAGTTAGCGATCGCCTCTGCCACAGATGACTGCCAACAACTGCCACGCCAGTGACACCCCCAGCTAATTCTTTCTCGCTCACTATCTGTTCATCTCCTTACTTCTTTATCTCATACTCGCCTTTACCCCCCGATCATATCCACAGCCCCTTTCCCCCTCTTCTTCCTTCCCATAGCCCCAAACCCCTCATAACCCTAATCTACCAACAATTGACACAACACCTCACCGCCACCTTACACAAAATTGGCGCAAACACAGATTTGCAGTACACTAACTACACGTTCACACTCATAGACAATCATAAATATACAAATTTTGACATTAATTTCTTTCTGATTTTTAGTGATTGGTTGAAACTTGAAATGGATTTCTATCAAGTTTAGTTTGAGGTTTTTTGTTGTATATCCAGTGCCTTTAGCTTTGCACACATGAAAAGACAAGGAGAGTGTAAGATAGAGAGGCTCAGTGGCTATGTAAGTTCTTCGAATTTTTAATTTCCAACTCTATTTTTTTGCCATTTTGGTTTCTTAATTCTGTTTGTTTTCGATTTTTGTTTTCAAAGGTTAAATTTTGATCAAAGAGTATCCAAGTGAAGGGGCTAGATCATTATATCCAATTGCTTTAGTTTAGTATAATTGTTAGCATAACACGTGTTTGATGAAATGTCTCAATGATTGTCTTTGATCCTTGCAAGTCTTCACAATGGTGTGATCCAGATCTGGGATTATCATTGATTGGTTCGACAAGGATGCTGGACCTGTTCATGGTATATCTTTGTCATGTAAATATCATAAATCCTTCAATTATTTGTACACACACACACACACACACACACAATGTTATGTGTGTTTATGCTAATTGTGCATTTGACTAATTTTGTGTGTTTATGCTAATGCTCTTATATAATTTATTTTATTAGGTTCAATCAGTATTTTTTTTTAGGTATTTATATATGTAATATTGTTTTAGGGAGTTTTTCTGTACAATTTAGTAATAATTCTAATAATATAGAGGATATAATTGACGATATATTTTGGATTATTTTAAAAGAATTGGTATGAATATTTTTGTGTCATTTTTTTTTTTTTTTTTGGTATTTATAATTGTCAAGACCTGAGTGAATTTGTGTATTGAAAGCCTATTAGTTGTTTGTTTAGTAGAGGGAATTTTTTTTGCCAATTTTGGATTTTTAATTCACCATTTATCATATCGACCCGAATTCGACATGAGTAATAACTAGATCAAATTAATGTCAAAACATCTGACAAAATTAATTGAATTGGTCAAATTAGAATGGCTTAATAACGGAACTATTACTTAGAAGTACATTTTGTACAACACCCGAGTAAGACACGATATAACCCGATTGATACCCCCCTAAGAGCGTATTGGCAGCTTTAATTGGTCTTATCTCCGAGGGAGTTCTAGCATATTTAAAGCAGCCATTACAAATTTATAGTGTTTCATTTACTGTAAACTAAATTTCAATCTACCATTAAAAAACAATCAAGTGTAACCCTAAACAGTAACTGAAGTGATAATAAGGAAGATCTCTAAACCCAGACGTTTTATAAACACAAACGTTTTGAATTCAAATCTTGGCAATTCCTTGGAGTCAAACCATGAGGAATTTATGTCTTATGAATACCCTAGTTCCAACGTGGATACCCTACCTTCGAC